CCCCCCCCCCCCCCCCCCCCCCCCCCCCCCCCCCCCCCCCCCCCCCCCCCCCCCCCCCCCCCCCCCCCCCCCCCCCCCCCCCCCCCCCCCCCCCCCCCCCCCCCCCCCCCCCCCCCTTAAGCAAAAACTTAGGTGATTTTCTTTTCTTCGTGTAAATTTCAAAAGCGTAAACAAAACTGACGTTTAGTTTCACCTATTAACACCTATAGTTTTAATAATGCATGTGCATGATGTACATACATCACAAACAAATTCGGCATACAGCTATGGTCCATATAGTCCATATTCTTTTTTATTTTCGTCTCATGTGTTGGAGTGAATGTCTCGTTTTTACCCTTTCCCTTACAGTTCGTTTCCACTTTCTCGATTGAGAAAGATGTCCCGTTCGGGAAACTTTTTCAGTCAAGAAAGATGTTATCTCATGAGTCATAAGTTGTCTAGAATACGAGCAGTTTTTTTTCTGCTGCTCAGCTGGTCTACATCTGCCCTATGTTGAAATCTGAACGTCTTTGGTTGTTAGGTACGCTCTCTAAAAAAAGGTACTCTATCGAAATCTAAAAAATGTTTAAACTTTTGTCACCGTCTATATACCTTTTAAGGTTTCATACAGCACTGGAAGAAGTTGGTGTAAAAACACCAAAAAAAGTGTTTTCTCAGTGTTTCCAAGCTTTTCCCAGTCACGGATTTAGCTAAGTAAAACGGTATATACTTTGCACGAAACCTTCAAAAGGTATATAGATGGCGACAAACGTTTAAACCTTTCTTAGGTTCGGTAGAGTACCTTTTTTTTTAGAGACATGCGATCCTAAAACACGCTTCTTGTTGGAACATCGCTTTTTTTATTTCCTAATCCGAAAATAGAACAGAACATTTCCTGTTCGGGAAAGATGTATTTCCCGCTCGTAAAATGGTGTGATGGCTTTGTGTTGAAGTTTTTTCTCCAGTTTTTAAAAGCAAAAAACTTTACTCCGAAATTGACTTCCCCCCCTGCCTCCGATGTATCGGGGCGCCTCTGTTTACTAGAAGACAGTCACATAATGACGAAGATGCTAGACTTTTCTTTTTTAGAAATTGCAGTGTACAATTTCGGCCTTTTCTGCCATTTCTCATTTTTAACATTGCATCTACTTCCTCTTTTCCTTTTGAAACTGCAAAGGTAAATATCTAAATATTCAAGAGTTTCGTATTATCACATTTGCAGTTTTAAAACTTTTGCGCCTGTTAGATATTTAGTTGTTGCAGACTCTAAGAAGTGAGACAAGAATAGAGGCGTTTCGACAAAAAGACAATGGTTACAGTTTCCATATTAGAATCTGAATTAATAACTGAACAAAAATGCCAAAAACGCCATTTTTTTAGAGCATAAAAATACCAGACTAGACTCACGTTGAGAATGTAACACATGTCAACTATTAGCTAGACAATATTTTTCAGCTACTTATTCTATTTTGTCAAAAATTGATTTTTATAACACTATATATTAACTCAGGCGTAACGAAATCCATTAATATCGTTCCATATCGACGATGAATTGGACTTTTATTCTTTTTCTTTTCTTTGTACTTTGTTGTGAAAAATCGAATTATTCTTGGATTTATCTTTCTGGCAAAATTTCTTGGTGTTAAACGTTGCAACAATTTGGTAATTTTCATGAGACCGGTTGCACTTGCGAAATTAATAAACCAACTAGATGCTGATGTCTGTTGTTCAGCTTCCATGAGTGTTGTTTCAATTTGTTTCCATTTTCGATCCACATCACCGATATTAAATTGATCTAAACGGATACATGTAGTGTAATGTTTGATGTAGAGCGCACTTACATTGCACGAGAATACATTTTTCAAAAAATCAGCCCTTTAGCATCAAAAAATTTGACTAACAGCTTTTTCTCAAAATTTTTAGGTAAGAATTCTGTTGTACATACGGCAAAAGTATTAACTAATCTATGGTGAATGATATTAAGAAAAGAAAAGGTTTATTAAAAAATGTCTTCCTGCTGAGCCAAAAATCATTATTGAAGATCGAAACTTCTAATCGAAAACATTTACCTTGTATATAGAAACACATAACAATTCCACATGATCTTGACATTTCATTATCCTCCCATTCCACTACAATTCCTTTTTGTTCATCCTCGTGTTTGTAGACCTTTTTGACATTAAATCGTCTAAACAGAACAATTTTCCCACGACATTCACTCAGTTTAGGGATAGTTGCACGATGATAAAAATATTTGTTTCTGCCAAATTGCGTGATGTATTTATCATACAGATCTTCAAATGATTTACTATTATGTCGCACACCTTCTTCTTTGACACTCATGATTAAACATTCGGATGGATTTACGGTCAGAAATTGAACCATATCTTGTAACACTTGACTAAATTTTGTTCTCATATTAATAAATTGATGATAAATATGAAGTTCTTGACGAACAATTTTACAACGAATGTCAACAAATCGTATTCCATAATGGAGTTGTTGCCGAATCGACATTGATTGACATTTGAACGGACTAGCACCACGTATGGCGCCACTATCATGTGTACCGGGGATAGTCAGCTGTGAAATTGTTAAATTGGATGAAATATTGAGCATCCAGTTTGTTGTATTGCTGACAGGCGAAGAATCGTCTATAATCAAGCATAAAAGAAAAGGACAATATGAGTTTACGTTTTAGTATCGGTTCCTGCTCGAAGTTTTAATTGGTATATATAAGCAAACAATTGAATTTATGCAGGTCTTGTATGGCTAAACACGAATTTTTTATGTTTGTCCTTTAGGTATGAACTCAGACTTTCACAATATTATTTACATGAGATAATCTTCTACTTTGATATGCTATAAGTTCAAAGTAGTTTTCAAAACCTTTCAGTATTTTCGGAGCCAGTCCATTTAGAAAACTGCGTTTTTCTGATTAACTTCCAACCTCTTCGATTTCAAATTTTGCTTACAGATTCTGAAAGAGCGTGTACGAGTTCCT